AAAGAAATAGACTTACAAGTCCAGGAAGCGCAGAGAACCCCAAACAAAGGGAATCCAAAGAGGACCACTCCAAGACACATCATAATTAAAATGCCAAGGGATAAAGACAAAAAGAGACTCTTAATAGCATCAAGAGAAAAGCAGTTAGTTACCTACAAGGGAGAGTCCATATGACTGTCTGCTGATTTCTCAACAGAAACTATGCAGGCCAGAAGGGAGTGGCAAGAAATATTCAAAGTGATGAATACCAAGAATCTACAACCAAGATTACTTTATCCAGCAAAGCTATCATTCAGAATTGAAGGTCAGATAAAGAGCTTCACAGATAAGGAAAAGCTAAAGGAGTTCTTCACCACCAAACCAGTATTATATGAAATGCTGAAAGGTATCCTTTAAAAAAAAAGAAAAAGGTAAAGATACAAATTATGAACAACAAATACACATCTATCCACAAGTGAATCTGAAAATCAAGTGAATAATCTGATGAACAGAATGAACTGGTGATTATAATAGAATCAGCGGCATAGAAAGGGAGTAGACTGACTATTCTTGTGGAGGGGAAGGGGTGAGGGGGATGCGGAAAGAGACTGGACAAAAATCGTGCACCTATGGATGAGTACAGTGGGTGGGGAGTGAGGGAGGAGGGTGCGGTGGGAACCGGGTGGAGGGGAGTTATGGTGGGGGGGAAGAGGAACAAATGTAATAATCTGAACAATAAAGATTTAATTAATAAACAAAAAGTATTTCTAAACACTCAACAGTAAGGAAAGCCATCAACCAAAAGATTTTAATAGATAATTCACTAAAGAAGATGTTCACATGGCACAAAAGAATGGGAAAGGTGCTTAAACTTATATGTCATTAGGGAATTGCAAATTAGGACCACTATGAGATATTACTATACATCTAGTAGAATGGCTAGTAAAAGTCTAAAATACCGATATGAATATCAAATACTGGTGAAAATGTGGAGCAACTGGAACTCATATGTGTGGTGGGAATGCAAAATGATACAGAAGCTTTGGAAAAGTATGATACTTGTTTCTTTTCCAAAGCATTTGCCCTATAGAAATGAACATTTATGTTCACACAAAACCAGTATCTGAAAGTTTATAGAACGAATTTTATTCAGAATCACCAAAAGTGGGAAGTTTTTACATATCCATCAATTAGCGAATGGATAAAAACCAGTGGTACATCCATACAATGAATTACATTGTTATATACGGATGAACTGTTGATTCACATAACCACATAGAGAGCCTAAATGCATTTTGCTAAGTGAAGGAAGCCAGACCAAAAAGTCTACATATTGCATGATTCCATTCATATGACCGCTGGAAATGGCAAAACCATATGAATGGAGAACAAATAAGTGGTTTCCATTGCTTGGAAATCAGATTTACAATAAAAAGAGCATTTCAGAGAAATCAGTGAAAAAACTGTTCTGTATGGTTTTAGAGTGGAAGAATACATGACTTTATACTTGTCAAAACCCATGACCTATATACCATAAAGTCAATTTTCTGTATGTAACTTAGAAATAAAAGTCTCTCTGCCCTGGCCAGTTTTTTCAGTGGTTATAGTGTCAGCCCACAGACCAAAGGGTCTTGGGTTTGATTTTGGTCAAGGGCACATACTTTGGTTGCAGGTTCAATCCTCAGCCCAGTCGGTGCACGTTCGGAAGGCAACCAATTGATTTTTCTCGGTCACATCAATGTTTCTCTCTCTCCTGCCCCCTTCCACACTGAAAATCAATGGGGAAAAATATCCTCGGGGAAGGATTAAGAAGAAAAAATAAAAATAAAAACCTCTAAAACCGCCTATTAAGTGAGCAGAGATTTATAAAAACAAGAAGCTTTGCTTTAATGTGTAGAGAACTATGCACACTTATATATCATTGATGGGAAATAATTTGTACAACAATATTGAGAACAATTCAGCAATACCTTTCAAGTGCCTCTCATCATTCAAATTCGGTAATTCCAATTCTAATTTATTCAAAATAAATAGAGATGCATGTAAAGATTAATATACTATGGTCTTCATTACATTTTTAAAATTAAATCTTTATTGCTGAAAGTATTACATATTGATACTGGAACCAGTGAGCAGGAATTCTTTCTAGGGTCGTGTCTCACAGAATTAAAGAATGAAGCCATTGGACCAGCCGGAGGAGTTCAACAAAGCAGGAGTTTATTGCAAACAAACCCAGGCTCCCTGCTCAGGTAGGGGATTCAAATGGTCGACCCCGAAGTATTCTGCTCTTCCCCTTATATCTGCTAATGGCCCGCTCTTTGTCTATCTGTGCCGCTCTCTGATTGGTTATTGGCCTTTTTGCAACATTTTGTTTGACACTTGCAAGAAAAACATCCTTGTTTCAAAACACCCTTTTTTTCTTGCTATCCATCTTGTTTTTCTGCAAAACATTTTGTGGTTTCACCTAGCTCCATTATTCCTCCTTCTTTCATCCCTTACCCTGTCTACCTAATTCTGCTTTAACTCCTTTTAATATGTCCCCTTATTTTTCCACATTGACCCCTTCTAACCCGCCTACCATGGGCCTCCACCACTCTATTATCTGTGTCCATGGTTATACATATATGCATACAAGTTCCTTGGTTGATATCTTCCCACCCACCCCCGCCTTCCCTCTGAGATTCCAGAGTCTGTTCCATGCTTCCATGTTTCTGGATCTGTTTTGTTCATCAGTTTATTTTGTTCATTAGATTCCACATATGAGTGAGACTAACCTACCCCAGGATGGTGTGGAATACAGCACATTCATCTGTCACCCAGCCGCCATCCTGGTTCCAAGGCTGCATCTCTCCACTGGACTGATGAGAGAGTTGTCAGTGTTTTGCTCCTGGGCCTACTTCCAGCTGTGTGTTTGAATCCTTCTGCGATGGACTACTCCCTGGCTGTGGTCCTCTCTCTAAATAGTCACTGGGGCCTTGGACAAGTTGTTACTATGTTCAAAAGGATGCATTGCAGAAATCTGCCAAGGCAGGCCTCTTGGCACTCTCGGTTTTCACTTTTGCTGGGCTTTGTTATTTCAACCATCACAATGTGGACATCTGCAAAGCTGTTGCCATGCTGGGGAAGCTCTGACCTTGACTTACTACCTTGAAAATTGATTGTACATCTCTTTGCCTCTGCTTTGTCATGCCATTCATCTCACAATAAGGAGGAAATAATAGATAAGTCCACTGGTTAGATAAATCTCTTCTCTTAATCATCTGGTTAGTTTTAGAATTTAATCTGTAAAGAAAAGGTTTGAGAGGAATTGTATCCAAGAAATTGTGAGACAGAGTTCCACATTCTGGCGAGTGAATGAGGTTGTCCTCCAGCTTCTCAAGACTCACAATGTAACTGAACATTATATATGAGCTTTTGCATTATAATTTACTGGACTCTTAAAGGGAATTCAGTTTTATTACTCTCAATACCTAATCAAACTGCTATATTTGTCCTAGGAGTTAAGGACAAAGGAAAAACTATAAATTCATAAGTAAAGACTGCAGAAACTTATGCATCACTTAATGTTTGAAAACTTTCCCCCTTTATTTAGTTGATACCAGTTACTGATGGTTATATGTCTTTGGGAAACTTAAAGTTAGGAAATGCTCATATTTCACATTACTAATTTCTAAAGCCTGGGTAAAAGAGCCTGGAGAACTTCTCAATATAGAGAAGTTCCATGCAGGGAAGAGGTACCCTTGTAGAGGTATCAAAATATTACATGTTCTAAACTGAGATTTAACTCCTCAAATACGTTCATTTTACTTGTCCCAAAATAATATCCACAAATATAAAACTTTAAATAACAAATTGTTATTTTTCCCACTGTGAGAATCTTTAATGTGAAATGTATTCTGTGAAAATAAAGTTTTTTAAAAAATATATAAAATAATAAAAATGGAAAATGTCACTAGGACTCCTAATATGGGATTGCTTTTAACCCATATGATTTCTATACTTGTATATCAGATGTCCTGAGACAAGTCTTAATCTTCATAACCAATTCAGAAGGGAGCACTGGGTTTGGGCAAGCCCTCCTACTGGTATTTCATAATCAGTTGAGACATTAGGAGTAAATCTTGGGACTGGGATCCATAGGGTTGTTGGCCTTCGCTACAGCTTCAGTGGCTGCCATGAGTTCAGGTGGTAGTGTATCTCAGGCTGATTAACTATGCAGATAATTATGACAAATTCAACCTCAACCTTAGCATTCATGCCTCTCTGGGTCTTAAGATATTGGAAGAAGGAAGTGCTAATTAAAGAGTGACTTCCAATGGCATATACACGGGGCAGAATAGTGCCAGTGGAATGAGAAAGTCATGGTTTTTGTTTGCTTTTTATCAATATCTTAGTCATGGGGCTGAGGGAAAAAGAATATGAGTGCAGGGATAGAGGTTACATTTAAATCAACTTTGTTCCTTCCTTGAAGGTCCTTCGTTCCTGAAACCCAAACATTGCTAGTAGCCTATATTCCAGCATTGGGACATAGCAATTTTTTGTTGTTAATCCTCACCCGAGGATATTTTTCAGTTGATTTTTAGAGAGAGTGGAAGGAAGGGGGAGATACACAGAGAGAGCTGGGCCAGGGATCGAGCCTGCAATCAAGGTATGTGCCCTTGGCCAGAATTGAACCCAGAACCCTTCAGTCCAAGGGCTGATGCTCTATCCATTGAGCCAAACTAACTAGGGAAGGACCCAGTAATTTTTAATTATTGGAGGTCAAACAGGGCAAGTATGCTATCTTTTAGCAATTACTCTTTTAAAAAATATGTTTATATTGATTTCAGACGGGAAGAGGAGGAGAGGAACATCAATGAGTTGAGAGAATCATTGATCTGCTGCCTCCTGCACACCTCTGAGGGGATTGAGCCTGCAATCTGGGCAGGTGCCCTGGCCAGGGCTAGGCATTACTTTTTTTCTGTGAATGTGGGGTGCTCATTATCAGAAGTAACAGTTCATATACACACTGTATGTACAGGAAAGGGAAAGAAGCCAAGAGGGCTAAGCATGCTATTGAAAAGAGCAACATGTGAGATTGAATTGGCCCCAGCGAGGCTGAAACGGCCCCGGTGAGGTTGAACTGGCCCCGGTGAGGTTGAAACGGCCCTGGTGAGGTCGAGACAGCCCCTGTGAGGTCTAGACAGCCCCAGTGAGGTTGAAACGGCCCCGGTGAGGCTGAGACAGCCCTCGTGAGGTTGAATCAGCCCCGGTGAGGTTGAGACGGCTCCTGTGAGGCTGAGACAGCTCTGGTGAGGCTGAAACGGCCCTGGTGAGGCTGAATCGGCCCCGGTGAGGCTGAGACAGTCCTGGTGAGGTTGAGACGGCCCCTGTGAGGTTGCGACGCCACTTGTGAGGCTGGGATGGCCCCTGTGAAGCTGGGACAAACTAAAGTGGAAACCCTCGGGGATGTTTGGGGGGAGTAGGAGATCAACTGAAGGACTTATATGCATGCATATGAGAATAACTAATGGACATAAGACACTGGGGGGTGGGGGAAGCCGGGGGACTGTCAAGGGGGAGAAAAACGGAGACATGTGTAATACTCTTTGTAATACTTTAAGAAATAAGAAAACAGCAATGTGTGGGCTGAGTCTCAGGATAGGAATCCCTCTGTTATTGAATCATGCTTTGTGAAGCTGAGATGAAGAGAGGCTCTAGTTATTCTCTGATTCTTTTCTTTGTTGTTATTGTTTCCTCTCAAATGAAGTCTTCCAACAACTCTTCCTAAGGAATAAAGCAGCCCCCACAGGAGGGGATGGGCTGTTCACTCTAACAGAGGAACTCTAAAACTTTGTTGGAATATTGGCTCATTTGAAGACTATAACAGAAGAAAAATGACTGCATGTGATGTTAGAGGGTTCACAGATACTCTCCTCTAAACTTTACCTTCCAAGTCCTAAAGGCCATCAATTTCCAGCCCTCCTTCCCAACAGCACTGGAAGGATCTACAATACGGCTACTAAACTGGATGTACCCTGACCAATGACTTTTGCAAAGCAGCTCTTATTCACCCATTGATGTGTGTGTTTTTTTTTATTTGTTTTGTTTTGTCTATCTTAAAACCTCAATTAGATAATGGGACTGTGTCATCTAATAACTCAATATGTGTTTTTAAAGCACTGTGCTTGGATTTTACCTCAACTTAGTTGCACAGAAGCCAAAATACATTATGGAACACAGCCAACAAAAGCTTGTACCATGTAATGAAGTAAGGTGAAGGTCAAGGAAAAACGTCAGTTTTAAAGAAGTCCATTTATGCCACTTCAAGCTGACCACTCTGCTGCTCTTTCAAAGAATTAGGAAATCGAGGAGAACCAAGATGGCAGCATAAGGTATAGACCTGTATGTGCTGCCTCCCACAACAACATTGAAACTACCAACTATAAGACAAAACAGCTATAATCCAGAACCATGGGAAAGGTGACCCAATGGAAGTTCTACAACTAGAAGGAAAGAAAGAAGTACATTGATACTGAGTAGGAGGTGCAGAGGCACCAAGAACAGAGGTTCGGAGGCGCGCGCCAGGCGGGCTTTATGTAAATATCCCATTAATTCCTTACTTTCCCCACATGCCTTCACCAAAATCCTTGCAAAAAGTTATTATTACCCCTATTTCACAGTGGAGGAAACCAAGTCCCAGAGAGGTGAAAAATCATGCTCAAACCACATTGGTTAAGTGTCAGAGCAGATTTGAGCCCAAGCTATCTAGTTCCCAGGCCCAAATTCTCACTGTACTGCTTTGTGGTCCTGTTCTGGAATTTCTTTCCCAACCTTCCTCCTATTGTCTTCCAGGATGGGTAGTTACACATGGTCTACTGAAAATGCATAAAACTTCTTAAATAAATTCTCCCATTGAAAGTCATTCTTTGAATCCCCAGGGTCACCACTCTGAACATTAAGTGGAAAATTTCCCCAAGAATATTGTGTTTATATACCTTTGAGAAAAGAGAAGATAACACGATAAGTTTATATTTTTAATTATTTACTATATGCTTTACTTGGAGGTGTAGCCATAAACATTTTTAAATCCCTAAGCAAAATAAAGAATTGGTGTACTTCTGTTTAAAAATATATATACTTTGAGTCAGTGGGGGAGAAAGTGGGACATATGTAATACCATACTTTTAACAATAAAGATACACACACACACACACACAGAGTGGCAATATTATTATGACCACCTGACATTTGTAGACAAATTAACTATAATTTCCCACTGAAGTTGCTAGAGGGCCAGATTATTATAAACGTCTGAATCGCACAACATACCTAAGTATCATTGCTGATCAAGTTCATCCTATCATGTTGATGGCGTATCCCAATGGAGATGTCTTCTTCCAACAAGACAATGCACCATGCCATGATGCTCATATTGTGCAGGAGTGGTTTCAAGAACATGAGGGAGAATTTACCTTGCTTAGGTGACCCCACAATTACCAGATCTCAATCTAATTGAGCATTTGTGGGACGAAGTTAAAAGAGCCATCAGAACTGGACAGTGCTATTCGTCGTGGTGTCAGATTCCTTGCATCAACTTTTAACATCTCGTGGAATCAATGCCAAGAAGTATAGCCACAGTATTGAAGGCAAAAGGTGGTCCAACGAAGTACTGATGGGGTGGTCATAATAATATGGCCATTCAGTGTGTGTGTGTGTGTACATGTACATATACATATACACATGTATATGTATGTATAAATGTATACACAGACACACACTTTCGCCCTAGCCAGTTTGGCTCAGTGATTAGAGCATCAGCCTGTGGCCTGAAGGGTCCTGGGTTCGATTCTGGTCAAGGCACATACCTCCGTTGCAGGCTCCTTCCCAGCCCAGGCCCTGGGTGAGGCGCATGCAGGAGGCAACTAATCGATGTTTCTCTCATCGATTTGTCTTTCACACACACACACACACACACACACACACACACACACACACACTTGCTACTTTGGTTGAAAGTGCAGTGAGAATAGTCCTGCTACTGATGAAAAGGTCCAGGATTAGTAATACTATAAGAGATCTGGAGCTGTTCAGGTGTCTTCCTGAGCATCAACATTTCATATATGGCTGTCCCCCAAAAGAAACTTACATTATTTATGCAGCCAAGCCCTGGTCTAGTAGGAAACAACAGCAACACTCATCTAAAGAACATGAGAAGATCTTTCATCAAGGCCAGAGGAATACACATTTGCCAAAGTCCAAAAGCCATGATTTTCCCCCTTCACCACCTTAATTTTCCCGTAAGTTTTTATAACCGTTTGTTTAAGAGGTTGTCCCTTCTCCATTCCCACATCCTTAGATCATGTATCATTTTAACTACTACTGTAGCCCTCTAACTGATCCCCCTGTCCAGATTTGAAAATCTTCCAGAATATACACCATACTACTGCCAGAGTGACTATCAAGAGCATTCCCTTCTTAAAGTGCTCAAGAAATCCACATTTCACGACATACTACTGGTGTATACAAATCCATTCCTAGCATATACTTCCAATCTAATTTCAGTTAATCATTCGATTTCCTATCTCCATGCCTTTGCTTAGAATGTCTTTCACTCTGTTTTCTCCTTGGTCAACCTTTACCTCTTTTAAGAACCAACTTAAGCATTCATTCCTCCAACGTATAGCATCTCTGGACTCAGTCAAATGGTTACTTTTCTGAACCCCTAAGTACCTTGTACATGCTGCCATTGTGGATAAACATATACAGTTCTAATAAACTTGTACATGTCAAACTCTCTTACTACACTGAGAAGTCCTTGAAGATAGGAACTGTTGTCTAATTTGACTCCATATCACCATCACCCAACACAGTGCCTGGCAGCTCAAAAGGTAGCAGAGAGGAGAAGCTGAAGATGTAGGAGAGAGAGAAATGAAG